AGTCAACACTGACTATAACCAGGTATTGCACACACTACTCAAATAGTGGACTGAAATAGAAAATATTCTGTGCCTCAAATTGTGTTTTCGATTGTTTTGCTTCTTCTGAAGGGTTTTCTGGAGAGAAAATACTGTATTTTATTGTCTTTTTGCCCAATTGTGTATAAAACGAGATGATACACACAAGGTAGAAATTTTGTTGGTAAACGAAGTTTTATAATGAGTGAGAAACCATCCAGAGAAACAAATTTGTTGCGTCGTTTATATGAGGGGAAAATGTAAGGGATTAACGAAGTATATCGTTTGGTTTTGACAATAGACTCATATGGGACCCAGCTGAATCTCTGGTTTATGATGTTTTAGTTCAGACTGACGAAGTCTGCAAAGACCCCTAAAAGGAATATTCCATTAAGATCTCCTAGACCGGACAAACAAGGCTGCAAAATCCTGATTCAGCTCAACGATGACAAACTCTCCTAACCAATCTATTGTTTTCGTCATCCTAACCAACAACCTGGAAATTCAGACCAACGCCTGGCGCGGGTCAAGTCGGATGGTCATAAGAAACCTCACAGACTAGTTCTCTGATTGTCTTAAAATCCGACCAACCTGGGAGTTTACTCACTTAGCCTGACTAAGCTTTTGTGTTAAAAGTGAGACCTTGCTCAGCAATAAATTCATCGACTGTTTACAACACCTGTTGGAAGTGTTCATCTGTTCTTTGAATGATTTTCAAGGAAGCCGCCGTCAGATCAAATGATTTTTTTCCGGATCATTCCTATGTCGTCTAGAATCCTGTATAAATGTTTTATAGCTATTCTTTCAGCGTTGATTGTATCATGAAACCAGCTGGCAGAACACTGTTTTTATCGCTTTTCCCCGACTTTGAGTAGGATGCGTCAAATTTCCTGCTGACGTATTATACTGATTGTGTTATCCGCAATCCAAGTCACTCAAGCACTCAGAGGATATAAAACAATTTATTCAGAGAGATAACAGCTGAGACTAATGTGCCGGTCGTTTACAAGGATGATTACTAGGGTTATGACGATCATGTCGACGACGATGAAGACTATATTTAGCTGACTGTTCAGTTGTATGGTTTGTTGACAGCCTAAATAACATGTGATCCATGATGAAATAAACGTAAAATCCGAATATTCCCCTCCAGTTCTTAATCTGCCAACGTCATTCGCACACGACGTAGCAATCCGTAAGTAGCTTTCCTCCATGACAGTCATTTGCGCAGTGAGGTACTTGGTAAGACCATCAAGACCATCAGTGAGGACGAGAAACTACGATATTGTTGAAAGGTCAGCTTATGACGGGCAACAAATTGTACTAATAACCTGTCGGACGATGAACACTCAATCATCTGCAGGTTTGAGCTAAAGATGCAACGCTGAAGTATCTTGGCCTTGTCGACTATTCTTTGAAGAGCTTCTCGTCGTCGGTCATTTAACTTCCCGTTATGGTACCAGATCCTCAATACACGATGAACACAGAAGTAGAACGTCTTTAGTCGTTCTTATCTGTAGATGTTTTGGATCTTCCTTTACATGATAAATGAGTTAAGACCAGAGAATCCCTGCAAGATTGTGGCGGTAACTTACACCCTCTAAACATGTCACCTGTGTGAAAGTTCCCCGGCAATCCAAAACCAATCCAAACCAACGCATAAGTCGTATAAGTCGTATAAGTCGGATGTACTGAAAACTGGGGCTTTAATTTCCCTCTACAACACTGGTGTTTACCACCGAGAGAGAGTTTCTCTGAAGCCGGAAAAGACTACCGTGGTGTTTCCTGTATCAACGACCAACTTCACCCCCGCTGTTCACTTTTCTAAGCCTCTCGCAAAGTAATAATTCCACTATAGGGCTTGATTGGGTAATTTTGGCGGAAATCGCGTGACTTTTAAATGGGCTAACTAGAAAGTTACTTATAAAATGAAAACGCACATGACTTCCTTATAGAGCTAGTAGGCGAAATGTCATCATCCTTGTCTTTTATTCTATTCTGGATGGGGTCCGTTCGAACTTTGAGCAGTCCAGTCGGATAAGAAAGAACGTTCAGCGCCAAAGAAAACTAGTTAGTAAAATAATAGGTGTAATCTCGTTGGGACGGTTTCGGGGAGCAAAAACGTGGTAGATCATTGCAGAAGGACATAAATCCCACACGGGGTGTTTGTTTTAAACTTACGTCACCGCCGTCTCATTTGGCACATGGGTATTTTGCCTTTCAGGTCTTGATTACTCCACTCCTAAGGAGGTCACTCACGGTGGCCGGAAATTCGAACAGTTACAAACCTCAATCGTTCTGGCGTCATCTGCATCGAATTCACTACGGATATTCTCACCGTGCTGATACCACTTTGCCCAACCTATATTGGTCGATGAACAGGTGGATGCCATAGTTACCTGTTCCACAATCAGTTTAATCTTTCCAAAGGCTTTTTCACCTTCTAATACTTCAGTATGCTTGCTTTCAAGTTTAATCCAAAGGTGAACCTTGGGTTGTATGTGATCAGGGCACACAAGAGCAGATAGCTGAGAATTTTCTGCCGAGATTTTGTATTGTGCATGAAATTTCTGTTCCGAAAAGCTAAAAAGCACCATGTAACTGTTTCATCCTTATTGAAACTCATTTGTAGTCCCACGAATTCCTATGAGATTCCAGCTCGTCACATCCAGGCCATTTGTTAAAAATTAAGTAGACTTGTTGAAACCGGGTGACTTCACTCACAGGACTAAACTTTATGTCATTCTACTAGAACCGTCTAGCGGTGCCACAAACTTGGTGCAATAGAGGAGAACGTCGGTAGCTCAGGTAGCGTAGATGGTCGTTGGCTTGTTCGCTGAGCTGGGCAATTTGGTTGCAAACCTTTCATCACCAATCGAGGTGACAACTACGCACTGATGATGTCACCTCGATTGGTGATGAAACGTTTGCAACCAAATTGCCCAGCTCAGCGAACAAGCCAACGACCAAACTTGGTGCAAGTTCTATGCTAAAATTTTAAACTGACCCATAAGATGTGGTGGTTCTCCCTGAAGTGGAGGAGAAGTGGATAAAAACTTCTTAAAGGGGTCTGTTTTGAAAGAAGATCTTACCACCAGCAGATGTAAAAAATTAAGTTGTTTTATTAGAAAGGTGGCATTTTCTGAAGGCGTTTTATCCAGAAATGAACGGCCGTACTCATTGAGCGAAAGGTTGTAGCGGTTTCTGCAGCTGCTAAAATTGAGAGTTAAGAGTTTACCGGATTCATTTGTTTCTACTTGATGATAACAATAAACCAACGTGCATGTATGCGGTAAAACAATCGACAGGCCACAGCTGTAGCGGAATTTTTCTGGCCAGACTATCCTCAGAAATAACCACTTTGAGGTAGGTTGGATGAGACGCATTCCAAAACAGGAACCGCTTTTCACAGAAAGCCAGCTTTATCAACTGAGTCGTTCCATTTATAAAAAGACAATACCGGTATAACCTATTTTGAATTTACTTTGGTCAAGCATGATCCTCTCTTTCCGTGGCCATCTTAGTTTTCAGTGGACACTTTGAGCCATGTTTTGTATGCCTTTGGTGTTACTTTGAAGTTTGGACTTAGAAGAAAACGCAGATTTTTGTATAGATGATTGTAAGTTGGGTCAGTTGACTATGATAGAGATCAGAATAGTTCCTGACGTTCGTGGCCATATGGAGATTCAGGTACGTTACCCGGAAAAATAAGGAAGCTTACTATTAAGGATGTGGGGTGCCTGAGTTATGCCTGGAAGGGGATGAAAGTATTCTTACTTCGATGAAAACTGAAGCCCCCTAAGCTTTTTAAATTCAACATAATACTGCACAATTTTTGCAGCACCATAAAGTACCGGGCATACACGGGGTATGATAGGTATATGAATACACAAGGAAGATACCGTTTTTAGTTTAAAACCGAGCTTGAGCACAACAACCTTACTGACTTAAGCGTTAGCGGTAACGAGATGGTCAGGGATACATTGTACTCATTTAGTTAGGGTGTCTTCATATCAACACCCCACAGAGAGCAGGATGAATCATCTGCTAGAAGCTACAATAAATTCCTGAGGTCCCCAGATATTTTGCTGCGTTTACAATATTTGGATTTAGCCGCCTATTGATAATTCGTAGTCTCCCACCTTACATAAACTGATACTGACGATCTGGTGCAAACATTTTTCATTGATGAAATGAAAACACACTGAAAAATTCAAATCAACTGTTGCAGTGTATCACTCAGGGAGTTCTGCTGGATTCACAAAACTCCTAATTCATCGAAGTCACCAGTGCAGCTAGTTCTTTTTTGTATTATTCATGAAGTGTACAGGACAGGAAACAAATATAATTCCGCGTGAACGCATGCATTAATCTCTATTCATAGGTATTCACGCCATTTGTACGGAGATTCACGATTCACCTGTTGCCAAACTGTCAGGTGGATTCAATCCAATGGCTAATTAATAATGTTTCCTCCTTACCCCGTCAATGGGGTACATCCCATTAGGGATTCCATTCACACGCACTGTACCAAGCCGCACTCTGGTACCATGTGGTCAGATCAATAATTTCACCCAATCATAACTCAATCCACAGCCATTTTTCCTAACATGCTGTAGATACACCGGTGATTTATGTTTTTGTGGCAAGCTATACAAATTTTTTGACCTTTATTTTGTACTTCTGCCAATGTGTCGGACTAACAATGTTCTCCTACAAGGACTAAGCCATCAAACCTGGATTTGCTTCTCGTTTGAAAGCTATTGGTTCAAACCAACACCCACGTGTCATAACATTCGTTTTACTCTGTCTTGATTGGTTGAACGGTTTTCGGTGCGTGCAGCACCTTCGTCTATGTCAAGTCATTTGCTAACTTCATAAAGTTTTGTGATCTGATATTGTAGCATCCGAGACTGAACCTTCCACAGGCCGGCTGCCATCACTTTTCTGGCTGAAAACTACTAAATCTAGACCATTCAATCATGTCTGGAATGTGCGCAAAATGTGCTCAACCTTTCGTATCCGGTAGTATTCTCACAGCTTTGGACCGCAAATGGCATCCGGACTGTTTTCTTTGCACCATCTGCAGAGGAAAGCTAGCCAACCAGTCGTTCCATGTTAAAGATGATAGTCCATACTGCACCAGATGCTGGAAGGAAAATTTCCAACCAAGATGCGCCGTAAGTTTCAGTTGCAGTAAATTGTTAAAGTACCTGAAACAGCCTGTAGAAGGCAGAATGACAGTCACTATGTAATTTGTGTGTATGTAGGACCGAAATTACCATTAGGGGGTCGTTCAGAAGACCGTTATCGTACATTATACTTGCATGTGCCACCAGGAGATATAGAAACCGAAATCCTGCAATGTTGAAATGTTAAGCCACACTATGTTTTCGTGTCTGTTGAGCACTGAAACATTGAAAGGTGAACTGTTGCTGCCTCTAGCAGAAACAGACAATGACGATCCATACCGAGAGTAGACATGCACAGTATTTCATGCCCCACCATTTTACCGTGAATTCACATACAAACTGTATAGTTTACGCTTATTCTTTAGTTTAAGATAAGGAGTATTACAGATGTTGTTCTGAGGTTTGGGCGTATTACTTCTGAAATACTTTTACTGCAATTTTGTCTTACAACACCTCTCAGTCTAGAGTGTGGATAATACAGGGCCCACACTACATTTTCTTTTAACCTCATCTGTATCTGATAAACAGTGTTCCACATTGGCGTGTGCAAACCGTACTTTGGCCTAAAATAATGTGAGGCGGTAAACGTCCGTGTGAGAAGTGAAATTTCGCAGCAATACTTGTGAACATATTGCCAAATATATTCTCGTTTTATTAGTGTGGTATGATCTGAGTGCAGGATACCACTTCTGCTTTTGTTGTGAGGTTATGTCTATTACGATTGTGGCAAGCTAGCACTAAGTCCCTTCCCTGTTCACCTTTACTCCTTTCTTTACAATAAGGCTTTCAAATAAATCATGGGTGTACGGCAGTAAAGCATCGGTGTTGAACACTGATGTCATGCTGTCGATGATGATGATGATCATGATTACGATAACAAATACCAAACCGGGTTATATTTCCTTCGCGCAGCATTAGGAAGCAAATTTGTTTACTTTGCCAAATAAAATTATCTAACTAATAAAAACTACATTAGTTGATCTATTACGATACTCATTAAGGTAATATTACAACTAAAGGTCGACGGCCGCAACGGTTAGTATATTGACTTCGAAAATATTCCGTAAACGGTACTGAACACTGACAACAGTTACTACACTGGAGCAACTGACTACCACCAACCTTGGCCGCATTGCGTTTTATCCACAAACTGAAGGCACATAACGATTAACAGCTATCTTACATTATCTGGCATCCAGTTTTCCATACCATTACCATCCTCAGAATATAGGCCAATCCGTGCCTCTATTCATGAAGTCCATGCAGGCTGCACGGTGTAGATCGCACTTGCTTGTTGATCTGCCCCCAGACACTTCAAGTCGGAGGGACTGAACGAATCTGTGGTGATGGGTATTAACTTAGCCCCCGAAAGCATTTTGAAACAAAGCTAAAAGACTGTACATTTTGTGTAGAAAATCAACATTATTGTCAAACCGCACTGCTACAGAAGGAAACGTCCTCAAACTTTTCTCGCGACACTGTATGAATAAGCACAAAACCAGGCCGTAAGTGTCGGGTAACCATACATTTGAAATAACAAGATCACCGGCTTTTACTCTGTTCATGTTTTTTTCGGTGAGCCCAGCTTTTTTTTCTAGACCTAACAACAGAACGGAGGCAAAATTTACCAGACACTAACGACAGAATGTGGTATTTTTTATTTACTGAGGGTATCGCGCTTGGACTGTGTGGTTCATGATCGCTTCATAAGGGATATCAAGTCCATCAAAAAAGAAGTGTTCATTTTGAACGGTTTGTAGCGGCTTTCGTCGGAATTAGTCGAAACCCGTAACATTATGCGAGAATACTACGAAATTTGATCGATCCTTACAGAATTGTCGTAAAAAGTTCGAAACCATTTTTGAATAATGAAAAAATTGTAGAAATATAATAACAGGAAAGCTGTTGCCATATCTTCCTTCGCCTATTTGGTAGCTGAGTTCCATATGGTTCGACTAGGCGAATCACTGAGCTAACGCATGACTACCAAATGCACATTGGTGCGTGATCCTGACTGCGCATTTTTGAACCTGTTACGACCCTAACGCTCATGCATCGTTCACAACAACTGTGGGGACGGTCTTATCCACACAAGGTAGCCGTAACTTCCGAAATGGTCACGTGTAGAGTTGGAATGCCACACCCACGTGCACTGAAAAACAAGGCCCTTTCGAATATAACACAAAAGGTACTGAGGAAAAATTCTGGTTATTTTTGTACTTCAGACCAATTGTAAGTATCAGTTTGCTCTGGAAAACGTCATAAAATGTAAACCGTATTTTTGAAGATAATTTTGCGGCACAGTGACTTAAAAACCGGCTGCTGTTGTCGCGTTTTCTGCTGTGTTAAAATCGGGATGAATATTCAGGCAGTCTTTTGCCGTTAGTTGTGGCAGAAGACTAATGACTAACTCGAAAAAATTGGATCATGACTATGTCCAACCAGGACTACCCATTAGACTTCAACGTCAGAGGACAGGGAGTAAAGTATTGCGAATGTGCAAAGGATTCCGTTCTCGACTGTGCAAAAATCGAACGCTTCGTTTTTGGTAATTTTACGTGAGAGGTCTAAGTGTATTCGGGCCAACATTGATCGTCGTTAGTCCTTCTGCCTGTAGACCCACCGACAATAAGGAGAATTTTGTACATATCGCCACTTGTTGTGGGATATTTCTTGTGGTAACATGGCTTAAAAAATATCACATCACATCCATAGTTCGTGATGAAAAATAACCGCATAACTATCTTAGTGTCAGATTTTCGTTGCGTTGCTGCTGAGAATCACTAGGTTAGGAATGCATCAGCTGTATTATTTGTGCAGTAAACAGTGGCAGCACAATAAGGTGGAAGAAGAGTGATTATTATGCTTTTGTAAATAGACTCATAAAGTTATGGACACATTATCACTGAGTGGCACCATCCAGCTTTTATGGTTTGAGATTTGTATTGAGCGTTACAGTAGAATAGAACTGCAAGCAGAATATGAGCGTCTACCGAAAACCGCTGGTGTAAATTTACGAAAAACCAATCTAAAATCTGTCAACACAAGAAAAACGGGACAAAAAGCATTGAAGAATTAACCTGCACTCACTGTTATGTAAGCGGATTTTATGCCCACAGCAAGAATAGAGGCTTTTTAGTGTAATTCCGGTCAATAAATGCCAGCTGAAGGCACAGTGGTGCTTTGGTACATCACACAGAACAAATTTTATCGGGGGATTGCGAAATCGGAGGAAAAATACTTTGCGACATGCGGTTTGAGAGGCCTCTGGATACTCCTTGAACTTTAATGAAATTCAAAGTGCACAAAAAAGTATACCTTCTGAGACCGACCTAAAGTCGAGGCTGTACCTTCGAGCCGTTTAACGCGACGTGGCCGTTTATCTCATCCATACTCTTGGGAGAGTACGAGCAACGTTTTAAGAGGTTTCATCAAGTAGTTAAATGTATATATTTAACGAACCACTTTTCGGTTCGGTTAGCTATAGTTCGTGAATTATATTCAGTATGCTCCTAAAGGAGTGGCATATTATTTTTGTGAAAAGACCAAAGATGTAATGAATTGTGCGCCAGAAAAGGAATCTTGCTGCACCTGTTTGGCACCAGGGAAACACAGATGCTGCTATCAAAGATGTCAGATTCGGTGCTATTTATCCATGTCTCCGATTCATGAAATGTTGACGAAGCCATTATCGAACTAAATCTCATTCAGAAAATTAAAGCTAAAATCCTTAGCATGGTTATGAAGACCATCGTAAAATGCCGGACAAAAAAACGAAGTATTCCTTATAATAATCGGAATCAATCAGGCTGCTCATGGTCTCGATAATCTAGAAGTGTAGCAACACGCATATTAATGTACATGTTAATTCGTCGTGATTTTGTCATAAGCAAATAACCTAGGATCACAAAGCATCTATACTTTTCTTCTCAAAGTCTAGTCTGTCGCACTACTACAAGACATGAGCAGTCCACCTTTTGAAACCAGAGGACATTAGGCTTTACAGTATTATCTCTCATAGTATAATAACCCAGCGCGCTCATGGTACCATTGCTTTTTGGTTTGGCAAATTGAAACACGCAGCAACAAACGTATACGTCTCCACCGCAAATAGACAAACAAGTTCTTCCGGTTCATTCTTCTCGTGTGTTTGAATAAAGCCTTTAACATTAACTGACATATGCTGACATCTAACCAAGCATATTAAATGGTATGAAAGAATAATCCTCCGATGATATCCAAAATGAGCGCTGAGACCACATTTGTGGTACACACTCCATTGAATTACGCCACAAACGAAAAACACAGGTGGCCCTACCTTGAGGATGTACAAGTTTGAAGATTCGTATGCAACTCCACGTATGTCATAATAGATATTTGTGTAAGGAGTGGCTGATTATAATTTTGGGAATACGTATGCACGGTAGCCAGTGCGCTACATGAAAACAGAAATAAGCTGTTACAGTTAGCCTTATGAGTAGTTTCTCACAACTAAATGATTCACTGATTCCTTGAGTAAGACATGAAACCACTGGAATTCTAAGCATGTGTCATTGCCTACCAAAGAAGGCTTGGCTAGCATCCTTCAGGACAATGGCGAGTTCATTTGAAATGATTTCTCAATTAGGCTTACACTTGGCTACTCCTGCATTCCATAACCGAAGTGTTCGCCTATTCTTCTTTCACCATTATGCCGGTGATTGGAAACAACTAATTCTGGCAAAAATACCATATACATTTTTGAGAAAACACCAGATTTTACAAGATTATTACTTTGCTTCGCTGACCTAAAGGCCTAGAAGGTGAACAAATCGTACTGCGAAATTATTAGACTACTCCATGATATCGGAGGACGTCTCAATAACGTTTGCCCAAATGTTGCTCTGAAAAAACCCGCAAATCAACTCTCCCTGCTGTTCGTAAGCAAACGCGTAAAATTTTGCCTGTCGCATCTCTATTACTGTTTAACTCATCCACTATCTGAGTTTTGGAGTCACAGACTTTTATAACTTCTCACACTTGCATAAGTCCACTCTACGGAGTCTCATTTCGCGAAGGTCAAGATTGCACATTGGTTAGTTTAACATGATGAGCATCAACATCACATATAGAAACATCACTGTTGACGTTACTGCTTTACCGCCGTCAAGCCACTAAGTGATAAGAATCAAATCCTGAATAAGAGAGAGGCTTCTTGCTAGCCTACAGCGTGCAAACACCAACGAACATTATGGTACGCATTAGAACCCAGCCCTGCATAACCTGAGTTAGGTGTAGCACTGCTTTGCCCTGTTCAGATGCACCGGTTTCTTATCCATTCGGAAACTAGTGGCAATTGAACGACTGGATGTACGTATTAGCGTAAGTGACTGTTCGGTGTTGCCCAGTAGTTCGCAGGCTAAGATGAAGATACGATCAGGAATGCTCAACTATATTTAGTTCTGTAGTGCTCGTGATAACTATATTCGATCCATCGATACGATGGTTTGTCTGACCACTATTAATATAGCTTCGTTTTTGACTCAAGTGACAAGAGATGCAGGTCAAATTGGGGGCATTCGTTAGATATTCAAAGGTACTGCACTCTTCATTTCAGTACAGCTCGGAACTCGTTTAGCTTTATATGTTTTATTGGACAGACCTCACACCCACACTGACAGTGATCACTGCTACGTCCAGTTCAGTGAACCCATATTTTGGAGCGTCTACGAAACGAGCACGTTCAAAAGACGCATGCATATATGCCCAATTTTGCCGTTCGTCGCCATAAGTAGATAGGAGGACAGGATCATTGCACAAGGCAAAGCAATGACTTACACCTCTGAAGTTATCCGGATCTGGTCTCTACTTCATATTGTGAAGTTTTTGAACTGATTAGCCATGTTGGATTCCGTATAATATACAAGCGCAACGCATGTATAGGTGCACAAAAAGTGAAGTAGTAGCTACCTTGAAAAAAGTGACAATCATCCAGCTGTAACACTTTCTGTGCCTAGCTGTCCTGTCAACAATCAAAAGTCTTGAAGTTTACATTTTCGGAAAAGAAACGGAAAATTAAAAACAAGGTGGTCAAAACATCCTTTGAGATGCTTTCAAATATACAGTGGGTTCAAAATATATTTGACAAAGAACTTACCGGGATTAGCTGAAAGAAGAGACCTATTGGTCTGTTAATAAAATAACTATAGGATTTTGAAAGACCCTTTTGATTTACCATACTTAGTGGTACCAGCTTATAACACCTATTAGAAGGGCCAGCACATTTTCTGGGTGATGCCATTACTCTAAAAAAAAACAAAATACAGCCATTTCCCAGGCTGATATAATGTTCCCTATTTATGAATGTAACTAAATGCTTTTTCAACAAATCGGACTTGACATTACAGCTGTCCTCCAAACAGCGCTCGCAAGTGAAACCAGTCAACATTCCGTTGTTTATGGAAACGCTCTCCTGTGGGCAAGGGTCGAAGGAATTGGGCCAAACCATTGCATCATTCTTGTTTACAGACGGGGTTATCACCAAATACGATGAAGGAAAATTCATCAGGATGCTGTTGTGTTTCTCTCTAAGGGTAACCTGATTTTCTCCTAATGGAAATAAATTTAGTACCTTGCCATTTCGCTCCCTTCTTCAAATCAGAATCTCCTCAGTGACGTTGTCTCTGCACTAAATTTGATGTGTCATTTATTCGACTGGATTGGACATATATAACTGGGACCAATCAAATAGTCTAAAATGAGATTGATCAATTCAACAACCAGTCAGCGCGTCCAAGCTTTTCAGGTTTGTGTCATTGTCGGCAAAATCAGTTAGTCTTCCGAGAACCGGGTATTCTAATATGACTAATCCATTAGCAATTAGCAAGCTATGCTGTCTACAGAGAAGCATCAGCCGATAGGTCATTGCAAAACTTGTATGTGCAGAAAAGTCTTCCTCGTTTGGAACGTTAAGTCGAATAATTCTGTATCACAAAATTTACTGAATTTCTTCTTTCAGACGTGCAAACAGATTATCGATCCTTCGGAACAGTACATGACCTACAACGATAATGCTTACCATAAAGGCTGTTTTACGTGTGCCGCCTGTCATCAAAGTTTGGCCGGAAAACAATTCTGCATCAAGGACAATGGGTACTACTGTCCTGAACATGTCTAGACTAGAGATCTGTAAGTTATCTGCTGAGTGATTTCCAATTTTATCACATCGATGGTTATGCTTCGCTGGTTCAGGGACGTCTTCGGCAAGTAGTGTTATCACGGACCTCATGAGACGCTGGACCTGTGAAACTGGTTGGCTATTTGTGACATTAGGCTGATAAGCTTTACTGACCCATCGAATTAGACTTCGGTTAAACAGCTTGATTGACTATTTTGCAGTTTCGCTAAGGAATAATACTTCAATCCATGAGGAATCTAGCTACTCGTGTTATCTCAGGTTCCCCGTGTAACATTGTGAACTTTTATCGACTAGAGGCCAGAAAACAAATGTATCCGAGTGGCCGGTGATTCAAGAGTATTTGTGCCAGTTTGTGTAGCTTGGAAAATCGAATGCTGACAGTCGATCGCACTATCACATGTTATGATCGTGACCTAATATCGGGACGTCTGTTATTCCGACAGATGGTGTTTCATTTTCAGGCTAGTCGAACAATTTGTGAAGAAGTGGAGTTGTGCAAAGTTTTTTAGTACACACATTTGAAAAGGAAGTAAGATCGACAATTTGCTAGTACGAAAGGTGCTTCCTTGGTTTGGTGAAACCCACAATTAACTATTTAGAAAATCATGCAAAAAAGTTCACCTAACTTCACGGAGCACTATGGGTAGCCTTGTTTCTGAGAAAGTAACGATAGGTTAATGTGGCTTCACAGTGGGAACGTTTTCGTTTCCGAGGTTTCTGTAAGCTAAATTTAGCTTATTGTATAGTTTAACTAGCCTCCTGCTCTACCATTTAAGAGTATGTAAAAGAAACTATCCTAATCACACTAAAATTGAGATTGCATCTTGAGGGATTCCTAAAACATTCCTTGTGGTATCTAGCCGTCTGCACAAAAAATGGCGAACAAAATGCCATTTAATAATAGCATTCAGTAGGGTACCAGGTTGAAATGGGCAGCTATGTTTGCCGAACACTAGTAGGGTCATTAAATGCACACAACCAACTCCACTAACGTATCGTTGACTGTAATCTTAATTTTGTAACTTTAATTCGCTTTTCGTAAAGAAAGTTCCAGATGTATTTTTAACTCAACCTTTCAGGAAGGACGCAAATTATAGTGAATATTTACAACTTTTGCAAGATAACCCTATGTCAACCCCTATCCGGAACTTCTATCTTATTTTTAATCTCGGTTATGCACTTGGAGAACATATTTCAACGCCGGTACCGCCTGCTATCAGCCTATACAACAACCGCAAAAAGTTCAAAGACTTCAATTATCGATTAATGCTGTGAATTTTAGCACGCTTCGACGAACTTAAATTTGATTCCCTCTCAGAAACCGTTTCAAATTTCCTCTTTCTCTTCACTTCTAGTCTCATCTCTTGGTGCTCCCTTGGTTCTTTCCATCCTTTCGTTCTTTTTTCATAGATCTCTCTGTCTACCATTTCGGACAGTCAAGAAATTTACCTAGAAGTGATTGAAACGAATACGGTAGACTAGCGCTGGATCATCAATCTTTCATTTTATTTCACTACACGATTTAAAAATATAACGTTTTGTATACTGATTTCATTTTTTGTGCAAAACACATATATGCTTTGATCAATTTAACCGGCTTTTGTATGGTTTTCTGGGAGTTTCTTAGACTCTTGTTGAGCTTGCCTGAGATGAAGAGCTTGCTGGTTGCTGCAGTAAACATAATAAATAACCACGTCGAAAATATTTCATTGGTTAATGCTTCCTGCCTTTCTTCTTGCGTCGCTCTGCTCGGATTTGCCTTCGGGCCTTCCAAGAACGCCAGAGACTTTGGATGGTCGTGGCTGCCCTTATCATATTCTCCTGCTCCTCCAACTCAGCAGCTTGCCTTTCAGCCTCCAACCGCTTTTCTTCAAGAACGGCATCTGCGCGGACTTTTAATGGCTGGGGGAAAATGTTGCAAATAATGATGACTAATTCAATTTAGATTCTAAAGTAGGTTGGAGTGAAAAGCACAACATTGAGAACTTTGATTGTTTTGCTGTTATTCTTATTATTACCCAGTCCATTATGCAGTGAAGCAAACCAGTAATTAGGAATCTCCGTAATTTCATTCTTCTGTGGTAGTATAGTGAAAGTTTAGTAAACCCTCATTTTTTTGTCGAAACATTGGAGATCGTCTAGGAGATTCATGGAATCCATTTCTTCTATTTGAAGATGTTCATCACCTATGTTCGTTTCTCCCACCAAATCCCCGTGTACAAAAGTCGGTAGCACGATTAGACATTGATAACTGCCTTGTTGAAACATTTTAACAAAGATATGTCCACTTACCCAGATATTTGTCAAACGCCATTGCTGATAGGCCACCTGTGCTCGCCACTCACTGGTAACGCACTTTTACAGCGACGAAAATCATGGGATTATTTGTACTTTCGCATAGCACCGTTCCCAGTAAACGATATCGAATATGTATTTAGCATCAAGACCTAGTCCTGGGACTTTAGGAAATACTCTGTGAAACCGGCCTAAGTTGGGCGTGGAAAAATTACAGGGCCGCCCCCTGATGATGCCACACTAGTCAAGATTTGAATTATTTATCCACGCCCTTCTGCCTCCAAAATTTCGTAACACACTTTGTTTTACTTATATCAAGTCTAATAGTGACATTCTGAATGAAGTTTCATAGTTTTTAGAGGAGCTGAGGCTTATACTCCGGGAAACCGGTAAAGCTTGTATGCCTGGAACCTGTTGACGTCCACAACGAAGTTTTGTTTACCAGGTCACATTGCTTGATTATACACTTTCTCGGACCTTCTATTCAACGGCACGTGTACCAGCTTAAAAAAGCATTGATCTCGCATATTGTGGGTACCAGAAAACTATCAGAACACGAACCAACACATTTGGCACAAACGGCCCGTTATGCAATCACATTTATTGTGGACTGTACTTTTATTCACATGGGGTCAGTAATTAAATTGTGTCCTCATCAGTGAACAAAAGTTCCCCCATGTCACTGGACGAGATGCAAGAGACTATTAGTGATGTGGCAGAAAAATGATGATGCAGAAAAAATTCGTTAAATTGGAAGAATGCTGGGTTTTGAAAGCCGCTTTACCATACAAAATAAGTACTCTAGAATTAATCTATGCTTACTGTGCACGGATTCCGTGACGTGTATTAACCAAGAGCCGATGAAACATCTCCGTAACTAAACCGTTCACTTCACATTCAGAACAATTCCTGAAACTCGAAGGTTAACATTAATTTTTTTTTGCAATATTATAAAGCTGGGTAAGTTTACATGCATCAAGTGGCACATTCAGCTTATAATTAAATAGTTTAGACCAACTTCAAAAAACAAGCCTCGTCGGTTATCTTTGTGAGTGCAAAATTCGTCATATTAAATCCAGTCATCATAAATCCACAATCGTGCTTTCGTTGCGCCACAAGAAAATAGAAGTTGGATTGGTTGAAGTCGAACTTGTTAGAGTTAACTTCGCCACTGTCTTTTTTCATTTAATAACTAGGTAGAAAAAAATTTCTACGGGTTACTCAACTTAGGTTCATTTTCGTAGAGGAAACCGATGCTCCCAATGTCCTACGGTGTCTGAGGTTTAAACGCAGTGAGATGAATTCAACTCGATACCTGGGGAATAAAGCGCAAAACGCCGCTTCTGTTGGTTTGAAAAGGATCCAATTCTGTCTCGAAAATAATGGTATGCTACCTTGACATTAGCTCAAGGAATGATAACTTTTCGACAGATTACTATCGGCTTCGTGTTCAAAAGAGCTCGTCAAGAAAACCTGGTTCTCGAACTTACACTATTTTTATTTGCTGCTCATGTTATTACAAGATGATTGTTTAACTACGAATATCGAACCAAGTTTCATCATGGAGTTTTCAAGGGCAACTTTTCCTCAATCATGTGAGTTAGTATACTGAATAAACCTCTAGTTCACCAATCAAAGCAAGGAACATTTATTAAGTTATCTTGTTCACACAGCTAGATGTGCACCAAAGCATAGTTTCACGCAATAAAGATTAACGCTAGGATGGTGACTTGAAGTTATTATGAGACAGCATATCGTAACTAGCATTAAGCTTCTAGTTGTGGGTATCAGACAGGGCAGGGGGTAATCCATGAGACAGTTAGGATTTGACAGTTTGTTCCACCGCTTGAACTGTATGGACCCGTGAGGGACACTTTTGACAAGTTGGAAAGTTAGTGAAGAGGAATTTGTATTAAGCATACAATATGGTTACAATTTCGCGTTAACACATTGCTCATTATTTTGTGGCAAAGTCGCACATTTACCTAGTTGTGGTGCGTTGAGGAGCTGCAGTTTCTTCTCCATTGCTTAATGACAGCTTTTTCAGTTCATGGAGTTGGCCAAGTGATTGCGATTTATTCTTGTAGACATTTTTGTTTAAAATGTATGGCCGTAATATTGTTACATCGGTAATGGCATCAAGGCAGAGGAAAATGAATTGTGATCTAGGGTCAAAAAGTACAGTAGCCAACAGGACTGAAGACTGGCTAGCTAATTAGAAGACTAGTTCTTCGTCGTTAAAAAATGTCTCCTAATCACAAGTTAGATCAGCTCGTGAATTAGGCATAGTGTGTCATGCGTGATAGAATGATGAACCTGTTTTGGAAGGAACGTCCAAAAAAGTGCACTGCTTTAACTGTGGCTTAATGAGGTTGTGTCGATGCTGAAGGTAGGTGCTCTTTGTGAGTCAAAATTTAATGGTCATATTAGGTTCTTTTTGGTGCATGCTATCAAACACATGTGACAAGTACCGAGTGTTTGGCTTTTGTCGCTGAATGTGTTTTATGAACTGCATGGATTAGGAATAGTGCCTGAGCCTGCTTATCCATCTATCTCTATGAAAATCTCGCCGAAAAATAACCAGGGTAATTCATTTTCCTGACCAATGTCGATAACAGTCAAACCACCAAATTTTCTGGCCATTTAGCTGAGTGTACTTGTCCTCCTAGAAGCAGATAAACTTACCTGTTTCTGATCAGAATGGCTTTACAGTTAGGATAGAGGCACAGTAAATATATGGCGGTAGGCAGATCCCAATATTGCTGCTAGTGAGACCTCTTCATGAACTCATGTGAATTCATGTACGTGAATCTGACCGCAAAGACGTTCAACAATGCGAAAAAGGGTTTTTCTTTCAAATAAACTTTGATTCTGTGAGTGGATCTGGTCTCTGCCAAAAAGATGGGGAGCACTGTACATCTGCTTCGCCCTTATTTGGAATTATCAGTAATGAGCATCTTACGAATAGTTCGACTTGACCAAACCAGCAACCTCCCAGGCGAAATCGCGTTCAAAATTTTCCAGATTTTCTCATACTACAAAAAGTCGTTTCTTTTGGTTCAAGGGCCGTCTGGATTGCAGAAACAACGGTAGCAGCTATATTTGGTACTGATTGACGCAGGTACCAAAAATATCACAATCATTTTTATACTTCCGTGAGACCGCTGTTAACGTCTCTATTAATATATTCATTTTTATAACTACTGCACCGCTAAAGAGAAGAGGAGGAAGAAAGTGGGAACGATGTATTTGGTAGATATTATTAGCAACGTCGTAAATGCACGTAGTCTAGTCCAACGGTCTTCTCTAACGCAAGGGTAACATTGATCAGCTTTCAAAGTTGACTTCCCGAACCAGACACTCTAAACCCATATTTAGGTTAATGCAAGTGAATTTCGAAAACAATTGTGTGCCTTACGAGCATCATTTACAGCAGTATCTTCGAAGTCAAGAATAACAGCTAGCGGCCTCAAAGCCATGAGGAAGGGCCTCAAAACAACAGCAAAATATGCAGAGGACGATAATCAAAGCCAAAGTATTTATGTGACTTAAAATAGGTTATTTAAAAGACTGTTTTCTTGTCGTTAAAGTAGCGTACTGCACATGAGGACTTCTGGTCATGTGCACCTTTACCCCAGATGTTGCGGTTCTTGTATATATTGGCCCACAAAGTGCACCTTTGGGAATTTCCACTCTCTGAATCAACCTAACGAGGGGAATGCGAACCCAAAAGCATTATTAGATCTTGCACTATTAATATGCGTACAACACCCGTCTACTCGCCAGCTCAGACCAGATCGCTCCGCCCTCTTAACAACTCAAGATAAGCAAACAATTCTTTCGTTTGGCTGATGACCGTTAGCCATCCAGTTGCTGTTGTTGGTAATCGTAATAGAAGTTTCCAAGCCCGGGTTGCGCCTCGAAAGTGATGTCAGGAAGTGCTTTACAGAAAACCGAACAGCACCGTACAGTATCCTCTCTTATTAGAGGAGGGCAAACACTAAGAATACCAAACCTTGAGGTGAATTGAAGAAGGTTCCTGGATAACAGCATCTTCCATGTGAGCAAGGAGATTTTGAACTTTGTAGCGATGGTACAAGTATGTCAATAGAGCCATGTTTTGATTAGCGCTCGGAGGTTTAATCTATACTGCAAGAGAAGGAGACCTAATATCGAAATAATCTAGAGCGAAAAAGAGTTAACTGGCGGAACAGCATGGAAAAAACTGATAGAAAGCTCTTTTCGAATGCACTGATTCTTCCTGTCAAGTTGAAGTTCAGGATCCCCTCATGCTGGTTAGATATATATCTACTAGCTGTCAGATAATGACTTTTCATTGGAATTACCCGAGAAGTTAAAGCAAACTCTAGTGGTAGTAACCCTTGTCATTGGAAGCCAGTGTACTGTGATTAATGTTAAACTGTGTCGGAACCAATGAGTGAAACTATCTATAAACCCATGAAGACCAGCGTTTTTTTCATTATACTCATCCTACTCGATGAAGTTTTCTTGGTAATCAATCATACCGCGGAAGCGAACACCAAAAATGTCAGATGCTTATGCAGTGTCTACTCCATGTGCTTTTTTAATGCCTACCGCGATGCGAAATTTAAACACCGCCCAGCTCAATCTGTTAATGATCTCCTCAAGATGTCTTGTACTGTATTTCACAGCCCAAAAGCCGGTTTATTTTCATGAAGGATTACAAAAACAAGGAATGGTATAAAATTGTTTCCTCAAGGATTCGTTTAATAAAAAACCAAGAGGGCACTGAAAAGTCTGGTACATTCCACAAAGGGCGTACCACGTCACAACGGAGAATTTGCCGAAATGTGACCCAATAAACATTCACCAGTTGATTTGGTGTCGCAAGTTTGACAAGTGAAGCTCCGTGAATTTGCAGCCCCACTTTAGGGACCTCAGTTGCATCTGGTTGTGATAATCCACATAGACCTTACAACTAATTTTATTGTGCTATCATCACAGTAGAAACAAAATCGCACCATCATTACCGTCGTCCTGCAACCCTCATTATCAAACATAAGGCATATTGAATTCCTACAGGGTTCCTTTCTCCAACAAATCTAATGGGTAGAATGAGTCGGATTTTATCTTTTTTTCAAACCACTCCGTACCTAATCTTTCACATTGTGAGGCTGATTCCTTTCTGTTTACATTTACGGTCAATAACGTCTATAAAATGACGGACTGATTCAAGTGCTCACAAAAAGACTGAGCAATTATTGTCGGTTTCAAAATCTTTTACACTGTCATTCCACAATGAAGTTTATTCGAAAAATAGACAACATCTTTGAGGATTATGTCTAAGACTAAATTTATGTCTATGTACATTTTGCATTCACAGACCCATATCAGCTCTGTACCTCCTCACAATGCTCTTGAGAAGTTAAGATTTGACAATGTCTGTGGACGTCGTTTACTTGCATGTATATAATAATAATGTGCCAGTTACATAAAGCGAATAAATCTACCTAATAAACTTTGTTCGGGCTCTACACAATACTAAGTATATAAGCAAAAGGCACTGTGGATTTTGGGTTACCTTCTCTCGTGAATTCCTAAACACCAAATGTTATCTAAAGCGGCTACTTAGGAGTCTTCCTATTCTGTTGCTACCACTGTATTCATACCCTAGTTAATTTTCTATAGAGGCGGTGGCTCAGGTAGGGTAGATGACTGTTGGCTTGTTCGCTGAGCTAAGCAATTTGATTGCAAACGTTTCATCACCAGTCGAGGTGACAGCACCAGGCGTGTGGTTGTGCCACAACAACTAGCCCACCGCTACGCACCATTACGCCCCCCAAATTGCTCAGCTCAGCGAACAAGCCAACGACCACCCTAATTGGTTTGTGTTTCAAAATTGGACTACATTCCGGTCCAAAAGTACAAAAGAGAAAGACCCGTACTCAAATTTCATGCCCACTTGAACCTCCGAGTTTCGACAGAATTCAAAAGTTAGTTGCTATTGCCGACGCAGAAAATTGGCGAGTCCCAGCGGACTCAGTTGTCCGGTTTACTGCTATTTATCTTGCACAACGTAACCAGTGAATTCGTACGATGGTGCGAGTATTGCGTGAGACATGGTTTAGCCAAATCTAGCAACCTTGCCCAACCATTCATCTCACCAAAAGAGTGAACAGGTAAATCACAATGCACATTCGTATCAAAGTTAATCAGACATCGTTCGGTCGTAAAGAAGCAGTGAATGCTGCCACATTTGCTAATGCTCTTTACTTGAAAATATGTCCATATCTCCCTAAATTCTAGCCAATCCTTTCTTTATAATTCGACCGAATTTGGATGCTCGCCTACTGTCAGCTTTTTAATACTCTACCGAGGCATCAACAGCTGTGATACAGTATTTAGTCGTTTTTTATCACACAATGATAACTGAACATTCCTTCAGCTGTAAAATTTCGCTAGACGTTACCGGTAATCTGCCGGTATCCTTCATCTTGAGTTGAAATCAAGTTTTCCAGTCTTGGACATAGTGCATCACTGCGATGTTATTTAGGAATGGCAGAAACGCCTTTCTCATTCAATGGCGCACTGGTCTCACCAAAATCCAGAACACCGTCGATATTATCGTTGTAGCCAGCAGCCCCAATTTAGCGCTGATGGGTCGCACTTTCTCGGTGAGCTTAGCGCATAAACGAACAAGGCGTAGGATGCCTCTAGAGTTGGACCAACATCTCGGTTGATCAGTCCTATTGGAAAGGCCTACTTTTGTTTGGCCAACTTTTGGGGAAACGTCAGGCTTACAGTAACTACCCTGAGGATAGACGCAATGCACTACTCATAAGGTTGCTGAAAGTTCTCCAACAGCGCACCACCGTTTTTGCCCTTCTTGGGATTCGTTAGTAGGCACATTTTCCGACTTTCCGTCAACATCTTCTGCAATGCACTTAAGGTTGCTGAAAGTTCTCCAACAGCGCACCACCGTTTTTGCCCTTCTTGGGATTCGTTAGTAGGCACATTTTCCGACTTTCCGTCAACATCTTCTATTCTAGATGAGATTCTTCCACGACAGTCTTTTTTTATAATGTTGGCATCCACTATCTACCGGTCGAATTCGTTTGGTAAACAAAATACAAATATACCTTGGGCGACGTTATCTCCCCTGTTTACTTACAGTCCATCAGCTCCCACCTTTTTCACACTCGTCATGATTTGGAATAACCGATTTGGTTGGAAGAGAAATCTTCACTCAGTTGGATTATAAAAGCGTGGAATGCTTGGTTTCAAGGAGGCGAGCAAAGCGAGAAAAGGTTAATCATCCACTCAGCATGGTTACATAATTCCCATCAATTCATTATATTTATACAAGCTGATGGGGATAGGTGATGTCAGAATTTCCGTTGAAATTTGTTACTTGAAATTGTTACTTGTTGCAATTTGTGACTTGAACGAGAGAATCCAAAGTAAGACTCCTGTGCAATGTGCTAGATAGAATGAGAGCCAAAATTTCAAAACCGTGATAAAGCTAGGTAATCCACCTTTATTTAGGATTCAAGCTAACCACTACAGTAAGACACACAAAGAACACACATTAATGAACACTAACACTAGCACTAATGAAAATGCACCGCAAACATTGTTTGCCCCCTCTGCGAGATCAGAGTGATATCCAACGGTTCCTACTTATGCTGGTTGTAACATGTCCCTCAGTTCACCCCTCGCTTGCCCAAAAGGGAAGAGGGATATCATGCTCAGAGCAAAGTGCACATTGGAACAAAATAGCTATAAAAACCATCAGCATAATTAGTTCAACTCACTTCAAGTTTGCGCATCAGTTCATCACATGCGGCCTTGACCTTTTGATCTTCTTCCTCTAGTTCATCATATTCAGCCTAAACAGAGCGAAAAAATTTCGAGACGCCTACTGTTTATGGAACTTTAGCTTGATATCTTGACATTATCACATGTGATATTCTTACTTGTTCCCCTAAGCATTTCTACCAAAACAACCTAAGGAAACTTTCGGGATATCCTAAGCATGGAAATGATAGAGGACAGCGTGTTCAATGGCCTAATGCTTCAGTTTTAGCCAATTCGATAGATGCCTATGAGACGCCGCCATTTAGGTTCACCTGAAAGAACGGCCTTTACTACATTGTGTTTACCGCCTGAATTAATCAGCATTTCCCAAATGCATGGATGTGTAGGCCAAATCTCCGTCCAGATGGACTTGAACTTTTGAAAAGTTTTGCTGCTTCGCCGTTAGCCACATCCTTCCTCACCAGTTTCCTGTTATGTGGTTCAGATGAGGTACAAACAGATGACTTCATATTTATCTTGTCCGCTGGCCTTATCGACCTAATTAATTCTAAATTTTGGCCCAAATTACCCCTAAATTTCGATAATACTTTCACCACAGGTTGAAAACCGACAAGTATCAATATTTATTTTCGCTTTACTGGTTGTAAGTGTTTTAATTGGGACTCATCGAAGTGCTATGATGCTGATAACGCAAGATAAGTAAGATGAGCAAGAATAGTGTTTCAAATGATCGATAGTCGATTTACTAACACGTAGATGACTTTTCTGTGTCTGACACGCAGCAATAGGTTGTTGGGGTTTCGGAAACCAAAATCTAATGTGAGAATGTAAACCTAGAACCTTACATTTCACCCTAGCTTTAGACATTTACACCAAGTGAGAACTACTGACGAGATTGTCACGCAAAATTATCAACGAATAATGACCAAATACAAGCTAAAATGAAGGAACCATTCTGTGTGTGAAAATATTCACACAATTTACCGCATCTAAAATTTTGTAAGTTAAAGCTGAATTCGGCGGCGAAATTTTGCACGAATGGACACGTGCTTGGTGGGAACCTATGTCAGCCTATCTGTATCTCACGCATTCACATAGAACCTTGATTCTTCACTACAACTACAGGGGGCTGGTGCGTTCCCATGTGGCGTTTGTGGAGGTTGAAAAAGACTAGCACAACATTTGTATATCTCGGCAATAGCCCCAAGCTCTGCATTAGTTTACTCGAACCTGTGTGGTCATGGAGTGATTGCTCACCTAAATAGTTTGCCATCCAGAAAACCTGTATCTATTTCATCGCTTCCTAAATACGCAAATTCTCTAATGCAGTAGCATATAATTCATTGAGTTTTGCTTACGGGAATTTCTAATTTATGTAGTAGCCACCAGCATTTGACCAACACATTCAGTAAGAAAAACGCTAATTTCGTAATATATCACTCACCTGCATTTCGAACAGTTCGGTATCAGTTTTACTTAACGTGGCTGCAATCGTGTCTTCCACTTTCCATTTTTCCATGCGGATATGACGTTCATGATCCATGTTATGTTTCGTAAGCCATGTGAGATGTTGTGCAGCTTGCTGCAAGCACGCCTCCTGCTCCCTCATCATTTCTGTGACAAAATTGAGAAGTCGCAAGTAATCAGATTACATCGGTAGAATCGATTGATTTTGTTCATAACATATTTTTTCACTTCATTGGCTTCTGGAAGACTGGATGGCCAAGGAGTTATGGGCCTATGGAACTATTACGCTCTGTCCATGAGCCCATCTATAAATAATATCAGTGTGGTGTGTTCAGGAAAGAAGCAAACAAGCACCTGAGATACAGAAGGCAAAGAAACATCAGCAGTAACCTGTAATCCTCTACCCGTCCTACACTACACAGTTAATAGGACGATAGGCGAGTGAAAACAAGCACAGGATGGTATGGTATAAAAGGGTTGGTGATATTAACAGCAGGAGTTAAAACTTCCTCATATACTAAGATGTCACCACAGCGTATTGCACACAGAGTCCGTCTATAGAGCATCGTTCTTCCGAATGCCAAAAGGCAAACCTCCACGAATAATCCAACCCCAATCTGGAAGTGATATCCGGCATCCATTGCATCCTTAATCCGTACAGAATTTATTGTAAAATTCGGAACACGAATTGCCAAATATTGATGTTTTCACGATCCCTCGTGCCTAATACGGATCAAGGAATTAAAGAACTTGAATTAAGCGCTCCATAAAAATATCATCATATTGTTAATATTAAAATGAGAGCTGGAAACATCCGTTGACATAGTCTTTGCGAATGAATTGCGCGGGACTGTTGAAAACATCAGATAAGTAATGCTGAAATACGTCAGGGAAGTCCGATTTTCCTCGACGGATCATCTGATCATACGCCACGTTCCATTGTTTAAGCCGTATTCTGTGTATACCAGAGGACCGTCTGCTTCAGAGATCCAGCCAGTTTGTCGTCCGTGAACAGCTTGGTCCATCTCCTTCAAGGTGTGGCTATCATTCCCTTATTATCTTTTTCCTCAGTGGACGAGGCTGTGACATCTGGAATCGCTTCATATCGTACACGGCTTGTGAGCTGAAAAACTGAACTCAGCTGAACTGAGACCAGTGTTTCATGGCGCTTATATTAGCGATCCATGGAAAATCCATTTTTGTCTTTCTGTGCATTGACTTTATCATGAATTAATCTCTGGGTTATCTTCAAACGAATCTTTATGGCTATCTGACATTGGTGAGATATTTTCCTAGAAAACGGAACCAAATTTCTCGGGTTGGCTAGTTCCTTATCAAAATAGTTTATTTCAAAACGTCAGGCATCTTGATACCAAATCGTCACTTTAAAAACTTTTGGCATTACCCAGGCTATATTCACAACTGTGCGCCAGAATAGTTAGTTAGGCCAAGAAGGCATGTTGATAACACAAGAAGATCGACACCACCTCATATCTATGACGAGGGACTACGTAAGATCTTCATTATTTTGGGTGGGAAGTTTGACATGCAACCCCTAGTGCATCAGCTTAGGCAACAATACCAGTGCAAGAACACTGGAGGGTATCATCAGATCAGATGGGAATTATTTTAAATTACCTGCTCCTTTCGATAAATACACAACTTTGCCTAATGGTTTTGCTTTCGCGGGGATCTAAGCTGAATCTCTCGTTTATGCTATTCGTCTTTGACTGACTATACTTCACCAGGCCACCTCGTGTTCCAGCTGGTATGATATTTGCGATTCCGTAATACATTGTGTAGACGTAGCACTCAACTTATATGGTCAGGGACTTTTCCGCAACCTTATGAGTAGTATGTCATGTATATACCTGTTGCTTCGTTTTTGTCACAGCATGTCGTTACACTTTTAGGCAAACTGTCGAATAGGACTGGGTTATTCCATAAAGAAAATCTGTAAGCACTGCACGGAGTTTTTTGTCGCCGAAGATGAAGACACTCTGTTCAAGAGCTTCTTGCGCACAAAAAATGATACTGTGGGAAAGGTAAGTAAATCTCTACTGTTTGGCTGATTTTTTGATTCAAGGATTTACTGATGTAAGCGTATCCAGTTAGTCTGTGTTAAACCGAGGTGATCTTTTTTATCTGACACTTTCAGGGGAAAAATGAGATCGCTGTTGGACTAGGTCTTCATTAAGTTCATCTGGCCGTTCTGTAGCTACTAACGTTTCTCTGACATACAACCAAACACACTTCCGGATTTCATATGGGCAGGCGCAGTTTGTGCAGGACGTGCATGCCCTTCTGAGAGAAGCTGTGGAAGCCAACAAACCTGTTATAAATTTGCCTCTACTCTTGTAAACATGTGACCGACAAGCATATTACCTCGGTGGTCTTGGACAACGACAAGGAGAACTACACATCATGCCCGTGAACATTATGCGAACCATATAAAGCGTGCATACGGATCCCCAAGTCATTGATGTCAGTTCATCTGCAAAGTTAACAGGAGAATCGACAAAACGCAAGCTATCCGATCGCTTTTCACTCTCGGTACGCTTCGGTGCACATCTGGATTCTTTTTTTCGTAAAGTCACTTTTTGGGATCGATGGCTTCAAGATGCCTTGGGGTATTTGCTTATATGACAGAATAAATGATACATAAAAAAGCATAGCTTCTTTATCGTGCCAGTACAAAGTTTAACACTTTTAATTTTTCTGTCTCTTATTCCTATGTACAACAACCGTGGTTGGGATACATACTTTAGAGGTAGACAGTTTCAAAGATTTTGTTTTTAATGCTGTGAATATGATATCCTGTTTTCTCAACGGAGCGCCACAGAAGGAACCCCTATGGCGATTTAGTATTTCCTTAGCTTATGTTATTCGCGTCAACGGTGCTCCACGTCAATCGTGCAAAATACATTTTATCTCTATTATATGAAACTCAGGTGGAAACAAAAGCCACAACTCAGGTGCGACCAGGAGTGGCGTGCGTGACCTTGAGCTCATTTTACCTGCAAGACAGCAGAATTTTCTGCCCCTTCAATACACCATCTGTGATGCCCAGTGTTTTGCTGGATGAACTTCACATGATTCACTCAGCGTCTATTTTCACATATGGGTGATTTTGTTGATGATGTTGCGGAAATATGTCCTCAATTTCGAGAGTTCACATGAGTAGCGCTCCGTTGGAAACACGGCTGCTAACAAGGAACGACAGAAACTCAAAATCTCGAAGAGTGATGTAGGACAACGCCTTCTCTCTGAACCGGATACAACCCTATAACAGAGGGCCTTTAAGCAGCCTTTTGAGTTTTAACTCTCAGTGAACTGTTGAGGATACATTAATTCGATGATCGTGAATGCTCCTTCATAATGCTCTTATTCGACTTTTTGAATGGTGACTCCGATAAGATGAAGGTCACGAGCGTTAAGTAAACCTGTAACCAGTAAAAGATGAATATTCAATAAAATAAAAATTTGAGCATATCGGGTGTTCCACGTGGTCACTGTCGGCCCAAGTAACCCCGATTCGAGGAGTGGTGTTAGAAAAAGATTGCAAAATAAACATACGGTGATGTTTTTGTTTGGCAACTCGTCTCTCGTTGTCGTGCTGTTGCTTCAGCTCGCGTAGTTGATTCTGCGTTTGTTCCTGAATGTCTCGTATTTTGGCTTGAATTTCGCGCACGCGTTCCATTCGTTCAATCAGCTAAGGTGTAAAACACATAATGAGAGCTTATCAACCTAACAGACTGGCAGCTGAACATTTTAATACCAGTGCAGTCAGCGAATTTTTGAGAATCATGTATGTTTTAAGTAAATAAAACTTGATACGGTCCTCCTTATCCTCACGAATAAAACGATTTCACACAGTGTGTACCTGATTCTGTATGAAACACCCTTAGGCAGGCAGTAAATTGATTCTAATGGTATGCAAAATTGATTCTTGTGGTATAAGTAGACAAAAAACGCAACATTCTGCAAGCTGCACCATATGGACATTGGAGCCAAGCAACGACACCTTGGATAGGTAGTACTTCGGGGTCAACAGATAACCATCCAACCGGCACCATCTTCGCAATCGCAAAAGGCTCTGCTCAGCTGGCTATTTACTAGAAGTTGGAAGGGGCCGGCGCAAGAGCGTAGCCCTGCTTCATCCCTGTAATCTTTCCGAGAGTCGGCGAGGTAGATATGCACTGCTGGTTGAGGTTGATGGGTCATATAATTTAAATCACATCTCATGGCCGGCGGAATATTGTTGGAAAGCACTGCTGCCAGGATGCCAGATCTTCGTCAGACTTTTCAAGTCCTTCATAATTTTGTAAGCATTCGGTCAGTTTATAGTACTGGACCTCTCCAGGGACACTGGAGTGATAAATCTAGCTCGATGATGCCTGGTATTCCCTTCGTGATGTCTTCAAATCGGGAATACGTCAGCCAGCTGGGAACCCGGTGAGTTTTTACTCTTTTAGAAGGTCGCTTCTTCGTTTGGGAATGCCAATAAAACTTCAGTGCGTACAAAATCCTTTCGTTGACGAGAATGTTTTGTTTGGAGAGTCTTTTTGCAAGAAATATGGTAAATTCTCAGGCAGTACAAAATTTAGCTCATGAAGAGGTGGAATATTTTAACAGTACTGATGGTGATGAGTGGCAAAAGTGGTTTCCCAAAGTTCGCCCGTATGGACTGGTTTTTCGGGACCGTCTTTCACGCTGAGTGCTGCGAATTCTCCGTCAGTTTCCTGACGGTTACAATTGCCTATTAACCGTTATTCGTCCATTTTCTACCAAAGATAGTAAACTATGGTGATATGGCTTGTCTCTAGACTTCGTCACGGGTTAGCTGCAGTCGAAAGATATGTTCATTGTCAAATGAGCTGCATATCAAACACGTGAAGCAAGCTTTATTTCTGTTGACTGATATTTCCAGCGTGATTAAGTGTGCATCAGAACTAAACACCATCATTACTGCGTAGCGTAAGAGATCATTTTCGTCTACCCTTCACAGTCACCGTAGATTTATAACGGGTATATGTTTTGGAATATTGGTAGATCGGGTCCATTAGTTGATAACTGATCCATTAACAGTTGATCAATTACCAAATAAATAGTTGTAAAGAAACATCCATCACATGTCAGTCACTCTTCCGAACGTCAACAAATGTCATGCTCAAAATGTGATTGTGTCTTAGAATTTCTGGTGCCAACAATGAGGCGCATGGGTAGTACGGATTGGATCATTATTGAAGCAGCCGTTCTGAAACCCATAAGGATTTTACAGTTAGTTTTCAGACCCGAGGCTGTACATACAGAGCTAGTGATGGTCGCAAATGTTCTGAAATTTCAACTTCTTGATTACATTTGAACACGTTAGCATGAAAAACACGGTGATGTTCCGTTGGCACGATCGCTGTTCGTTTAATTTACTTGTGTTTTACTTTCTTCTCACTAGATTATTCAAGCACTTACGAAGTCAGGCTACTGTCGTGGAAATTGATCGACCGAGCTTGTATAGGACAATAAGTGTAGAACAACTGTACCATACTCAGTAAGCTACCTAAGGGCATCTCGTATTACTGCATCAGTTGCATCCCTTCAGATTTCTTTTCTTACAGGACAAATAAACCAAGTGAATGTGAGTAAACTGGCTGGGCCATCGACTCCAATGTGTAAAGGTCAATCCTTTCTTCTCCTATTCCTTGTTAAAAAAGCCGTAGTGGCTCTGAGCACTATGCATCAGCCCATAGTTTGTAGTTGAAAAACTGACTAACCATAGAGAAGAAAATGCTGAAAATGCTGATTTATGGCTTGATTATGTCAGTATGGCGTTGCCGAGACATGCGAAGCTTTTTCCACTATCGAGAGATTCGTCTATTGATTTATGGTACAAAACACTCAGCTTTCAATCAGGAAATGTTTTCGTTCAGGCCCTAGTCCTACCTTGATCATCGATACATAGCCTTTTTCCGGGTTGTTCTACTGTTAAAAAGGTGCCGCAGTAGACAGCAAAACCTTGGTCTTCACCTATTTCCAGGCCATTAAATGCTTGCGTGAGTATCGCTTAGGCTCGCATTTACATCAAGCTATTGATCCATGCTTTGATAAACCAGTTCCTTCGGTCGTTTTTTGCCACTATGATTTAGTTCTTGTAGTCGTTTTAATGCCAGATGAGCACAAGTGCTTCACTGCTACATAACTTCAAATGAAACTAAAAAAATCGACTTTAACTCCTCAAAACTGGAGGGCTTCTAACATATCAGTGGGATACTTCATCCTGTCAATGAAGCTGAAAAAACCGAGAAGCATTGTAAGTTTGTTTAATTCTTGTTGGAAATAATCAGCGGAGCGCATCTAACGAAACTCAGAGAATTTCAAATTCGCGGTCTTCCAGTTAGAGATTGAGCGCTTAATTATTTGACCGTGAGTCACTTGTCAGTCGACTAGCTCTTACCTAGACGGGACGTAGCGCCGTTATTCTTCGATAACGAAAACCCTCAACTCATGTTCACATATTCACTGGGTCTTTGAGCGACGACTTCCTACATTATTATTGGGACTCTAAATGTGTACCATGAGCATACAGATGTCCTCCGAAAAGAATTTGACAGGGTTTTGAAAGCTTTTATGAAGGTCCTAGTGAAATTCTATATAGTAAGTGTCAATCGAAACACATTGAAGCATGGAGGAGAAGAATATGATTCACCCCTGAGACCTCCATCCTTACATACCAACCTGCTTCCTTGATTGCAGTGAGCATTTTTTTCTGGAAAGGCAACGTGAGTCATTGCAAACACCAATCAGTGATCTACTGGGATAGTTCTCTCACAATCCAAACATCTGTCCTTGTTCAAGGACCAATACAACAGATGACCAGGTGGTGTGGGTTGTGTGACTGAAATATCGGTGACACAGTTTTCTTTGAGTGGGTTACTTGCATTGCCTCAAGACATTCGTATTTGAATGGTAAAGTGTTCACCCACTAGTCATAAAGACACAATACCCCTTATTCGAAACAAGGATGAGACAGTTGTACAGTGTTTCATGACTCCATAGCTCAAAAGACCTTCATCTGCGGGATGTGATAGAAACAATCAAAAGTCACCTGCTGAAGAGTGGCCCACCTTCGTGGGTGATGAATGACTGCTTTCCGCAATATTAGAAATATTAGAAAGTTGATCGTATTAGAACAGTTACGATGACAGACTCTTGTCCTTATACCTAAGTTCCTAGCACTTCCACTTAGTTTTGATGGAGATAAGTAGCTTATGTTGTCAATCCGGCTTGTAAAAATTGTAAGAAATTGACCTTTGATGGCGAGGTAGGGAGACCAGCGGATGGTAATGACATTCCTGTCATTAGTTTCTATTTAGACTATCCTGCTGATTTTTGGAGAAGCAGAAACCTCGGGTATTTGTGATGGGTAAGTGGTGCGCAGCTAACTCTCTGTCATCTTTGTTTCCAGCTTAGGTTCACAACCCTGGAAGATGTCTAAGTACTAGTGTTGCAGTATGGTGTTGTGGAAGTGATGATGACGGTGACCATCAGAAAATGACGGTTTTCACACGCATCACCTTATTCCCACCCACTCTCCATCGTTTGCTTCACCATTGGCTGCTTGTGACGGTGTTGAATATCTTTTACCCGAGGCCAAACACAAAGAGCACATTTCTTCCTTATGCCGACTATCGATAGAGCAGAGGCTGTATGTTCTTGTAATCTGTGTAGCATAGCAGCGCGTCCATTAAAAGCAATTTCCATCCACAACTACAGTATTTTAGGCAGGCCGTTTGCACAGGTATTTTATATATATATATATATATATATATACGCTTTTTTAACTTTTGCAGTCGCTACGCAGTCACTCTCAACACTTCATGCTAACCAAAGTAAATTGACCTGTTAACGAGAAATAACATCTTGTGGATGACCATGTTTCACACATTAATTTACCTTGCCCTATGGAAATGATTCGACTATCGTCTAAACGAACCCGGGTGAAATGCACAGGACTAGATCCGTGTAGAGAACTACCAGGACGACCACTATCTTATGCCTTCCTCATATGTGAACTTTTATGGGGACGAACAACAACATAACCACTGAAAGCCTTCCAAGATTGACTAAATACACCTGGGTCAGATAAGCTGTCGATGAAACTACGCCTACTAAGTCTAGTGTGGCTCATTACGTTCTCAGTAAGAGAAAATTTGTTAAGTTAGTTGCTGAATCATGACTGCCTCTGCTGTTGTGGTGATAAACCATTTCGACCAGTCTCGCTTGGATTTTGCTAAGGAGTTATGATGACTCTCATTCAGCATTTTACGATGCTTCGCATAGCACTTGTAGTTGTCGGCATTTATCTAACGAGGAGGGCTAGTGGAAAACTAGGTTTTTGAGTTTTCATGTTGCTTTACATGATTGCCCAATGATGTCCTATTCTGATAAGTGCGAACATAAAACGACGAGTTCCGAATTCATCAGCTCCAAGTCTATAGTCAGGCTTACAGAATGCTGCCTAATTTAGTTTCTAAATTTGAAAACTCACTGGCCTATGAGTTTCCCACAGATGAAACGGTTGTCCAATAGACGTCTGATCTTCTACGACGACCTATATGAACTGATAACAAAAGCTGAAAGCCAGACAGTGTGATTTCCGTTTTCTCTGTACTCAACCGGCAAGTGGGCACTCCAAAGAAGAAGAAAGTGCTATCCGTAATCAGATGGGCAAATGATACTCCTAGGTGAAAAGCTAGTTTAAATGTAGTCATATGTCTTCGTCACTTCTAACTCCTAACGCCTGTAAAAAATTGTTCATAAGATGTATGAGGTTGAGGTTGGGAAAGACAGCTATTACTCAGCCGTCCGGCACCATGGTTAACCATAATCCTTTAGTATCATCTTTTTGAAGAGTGCTGGGTGTGCGGAATGAATGAATCTTAAAATAAATCTACCAGTGGAAACGTTTGAATGTCTTCGAATTTATGGAGGAAACTGGAGAATAACGATGCATCTCGTAATAACTCGGTGCATGAACGTTCTGTGTTCGACTCAGATGCAGATTTCGCACAAGAGGCCTCCTACCATATTCACTCTGAAGCCAAAAGACCTCGAAAGGAGGTAACAAGTTAACATTGTATCTGAACAGACCTGCAAACGCTGGGTTTCTTGCAATGCTTTATACTGGCTCGTTAGTTCCTCGATTGTTTTCCGCTGCTCAAGATCGCGGCGTCGCAGACGTTCAAGGAAATCGTCCCGTTTGGCTCTCGCCTTTGGTGTCGTGAGCAAATCATTCCTGGTCAAACTTCTCAAGTGAACTAACTGTATGGCAAGCCGGCGGCAGTTGAAACTTGGCTCAATGTTCCACTGTTCTCGATGACGAATCAGCGCCGAGATTGCCAGTGGATTAGCCAACATTTCTCGCAGCAGTAACCTTGTAACTTCGAACAAACGGAGGGCTATCTGGTGAACGGAATACGAGGTAACGGTACATCACCATTTGAAATTCATAAGTGGAAAAATAACCAGGGAAGAGTTTTCTTTTTACTATATCTGACAAGTGGAAAATCGAATCGGAATCACGTTGCATTAGCTACAGCAGATACCATGTTTACTCATAATCGGAAAATGTTCACGTTTTGGTGAGTCCGACAGAGTTACTTTAAAACCACAATTTACTCTTAAGAATGAATCTTTAAAGCTCAACATAGAAAGTTATACAACGGTTCTTTTTGAAAATAAACAGGGCCGAAAGACACCATTTTAAAGTTTATCCCTTGGGGAATAGCGAAATGCAGCACCGTGGTAGGCCAGCTCCCGGAAGAATTCCGGTTTTTACTTCCGTAAATTCACAATGAAAGCAATAAGAAAACTTCTAACTCCTGTTTCAATTAGTCATTTTTGCGCATGCAAGTAAACAGGTAGCGCAGAAAATTGGAAGTAGAATACTCAGACCAGTATAACTGGAGTCCGAATTAGATATAATTCTGTGCGAACCTAGCCTTTTGGAGACATATCGTCTAGTACACAAGGTAACAAACGCAGCAAAGGTTTTGTACCGAATTTAGTTGAGGCATACCGTGAAAAAAGGCATCAGCTGAATATCCGCCTGTCCAGCCTGTCGTTTCGGGTATGCCTTTATGACTCAGCTCATACAATTTTGATCCGCTCTTTTGTTTAGTTTACTTGCTCCATGTTTTCGTTATTTCAATTGGATAGCGTTGATGCTTTTTTCCAATGGGCACCGTTAAATTAGTCGGATCAAACCCAGTCACGAACGGCTCGATTCGACCACCTGACTTCTTAAGGGGAAGACTTCTACCCATTGATATAAGTGACTTCTGCTAAATATCATCTAGAAGCAAAAACAGTGGATGGTGAACATGGCACCGCGGTCCTTACTTATAGACTACCACGGAAACAAAATGGTTCGAGCTAGTACACTTCTAAACAATAAGATTTCTTTGTTGCTGTTCCGCTTATTTCTCATATGTATTCAGCATCCTGGTTTGACTCGATTCAAAATGACTCTTTTTTCTTCAATTTTGAATGTGTCACTTAATAGTATAAGGATTTAAGTTTTTCCCCAAGCATGCCGTTCACCAACTCACACGGTTCTGCTCAAGCACGCACAGAATTTGATCACAGTGGAACGAGATGTATGGTCACCCCATGACTACTGTTTAGCAGTCGGAGTCGATTAAGGCATTGTCTATCTCAACGTGACCGACAAATTAGAATAGCAGAATTTTCGAACATAACGTACGGGCTAAGGATGAACATCGGATATTATCTTGAAAGTTTCGACGACCAGTAGGAAAAAATGCCTGTGCCTAAATGTTGGTAATACTCATGGTGCGTTGACGGACTGTTAGTTCAGTGGCAGCTGAGCTGTGCACAGGTTTTGACATTATGCTTGTCAACTTTTCCTCAGTAAACACGCAGTGGTGGTAGCACAACATTTTCCAACTGACTACGGCGGTTGGTAAAGAAACCCAGTGCCTCATGATCAACACATATCAGTGAAATATGAAACAAGAAAGTCACCAGAATAATGGCTCAGTGTGGGTAATGTTCCGAAGAACACATCAGTATCGCGCAAAAGCAGTCGAACAGAGCTCCAGCATGAGGAGCGCAAACACCGTTGATCAGCACCTCCAGTATATACGGCGAAACGTCGCTAGCGTGCACAGGAGTACAGGTCCAAAATTAAGGCCAGAAACCTGAAACAAACCCATTTTGTCAAGGCATGTAAGAATTCGGTCATCCGGCATCGTGGTTGATCACGAAGGCTTGGGAAGCATGGGACTAGCAATGAAATCTCACCCACTGTGTCGATCAGGCAGCCGATTGAATAGAGAGTGCAGTAGGCGCGCGTTTGAACAGCTGGGAGTGACAGCAACCATGAGAGATGTATTGGGTAGGTTTTCTAATTATATGTCGGAAATAAACTAGCGTAGAGAACACAGTTGCACTTCCACATGATCGACAGGTTTGTTAAATGAATGTGAGAGTAAATGATCTGGTTCGTGTAATCAGTGTAGACCATTCGGGAGGAAAATCACAAAACATGAGACGATTTTGCTGCATACGTCACCTAGTTGCTTTTGATTTTCATGGAGAGCTGTTCTTTACTTTGCCACCCGCGTAACTGCCTTGACCCCAGATATCTGTATCCTCGAGTTCGAAATTTTTGTCTCGACTGGACATCCACAGTTTTATAAACCTTCATAAGCCTCACTTGAACCCATTCTCCACGTGCGTTTCAGTCATTTGTGAATCACTCTTCATATTCACGCACTTCAAATTTGCTGCACCTCGTGGCACTTGAAGAATAGGTTCAGCAGTTACTCATAATCTGAGGATCGTTCGTAATCGATGCACTCATTTCCAGGTGGCTACTGCTTTTCACAACCTCTGTGGGCATTGCGATCGGCCCCTTAGTTCTCCTGAAAGTCTACCCTAAAAAACTAGCAATGTAATTGATTTCATTCACCCTAACTCTGAGGTGAAAAGTGCTCAGTAATCATTGTTGCCACCGTGCATTTGGTTTACCCATGAATTTCAACAAACCGATCAAAACTGATAGAATTACACTGTCCGAATAGGTGTACATCCGTACCATCTTCTTCATCCAATTCTCCTCAAAGCAGCCGCTGAACGGGCTTAGATGAAACCCAAAGTGTGGTGTGTTACCAAAGTCAGTGAAACAACAATTCATCCACAACAAATTATCTCGACACCAGCGAAGAGCTCGCAAATTAATCGATTATCGGACAAGATAACACAACCAAGGTTACCCTATGGATTCTAATATCTCCTGTCAATTCTCAGGCTGAAATCGAATTTAACGCTTCAAAACATCGTTGTAGTTGCTAGAGGATCATTTATGCATAGATGAACTCCAATCCGAGTGTGGCATATGATGAATCGGTTGACAACCTAATGGTTCTATCCCAGCGATTGGGTGTAAGGTATGCGGAAAACTCTGACAATAAGGGCATGCATCACCGACCGTTATTCAAGCGGCATATGTCAATAAAGTGGCTTAATGCATACCACATCGGCAAGGTAATGGTCAATGGCACTGGTCATCAGCTTGCACGATCTTTTGTACTCAACCCATGGTACGAAACTTTGTCACGCAAAATATACGGTGCATAACCTGATTTTGTGTACTCGGTGGACAAATGCATATTGTTTAGCAAAATTTGACTAGGTATTTTCACAGTGAAAAGCACGGAAGCAAAGCTTGGAACAGACTGTGCTACCAGACATCAAGCCGACATGTGGACGACACATTTGCTATTTTTAGATAAAAAAAGAGCCATTGAGAGTGAATCAAATGCTGAACAATGTGTTTCCTGACATCCAATTCATAATCGAAATGGGGGGAACAAAAATTGGCGTTCTTAGATGCGCTCCTCCTAATGACAACAGATGACCAACTGCATACCGAAATATGAAATCAACGCACACGGACTAGATTCTGAACTACTCCATCAACCATCCGAACTGGCACAAACGAGGCTGTGTTCGATCCCTGTTTAAGCGAACCGAGAAGCATTGCAACACAACAGATCCGACTATGAAGAGACGAAGACTTCATCAGACACACCGAAATCGTGCTTACGAAATCAACTCCAGGCCACGCTACCATTACAACGACAACAGAAGAGGATTATGCTTCCGTATGTCAAAAACCTTACAGAAACGATTTCAGAACATTTACGTCAACCTGAAAAAATAACTGTAAACGCATCAAGAACAGCCCTCTCGAAACACAAGAGAAAAGTGGATGTAGTGAAGTGACGAATGTGATTTAAAACCCTCTGTGTAACAACTGTGGCGAACACTATGTTGGTCAGACTGGAAGAAAACTTATCACCAGAACTCACCAACACAAACTTGCCAGCAGAAGACACTACCCGGTGTCACTTGTCTCAACTGCCGAAACAGATAACGACCTCACTTTAATTGAGACGATGTTTTAACACTTCCTCACGCAAGCTCAAAATGGGAGCAGGAGTTTGTAGAGGCGTGATACTACACGGAAAAATCGATCAATGTGCATTCTCTTGGCTAATTCGAACAAAAGAAATATATGGTTGCGGGCCTGTGAACCACATGGGAAGTCAAACTACCGAACGAGAACCAAAGAACCGGTCAGATCAAAGTAAGCTACCATAGTGGGGGGTTATACAGTCAAATAATCAAATGAAACGAATTCAGGCAGCAAGTCCAGAAGAAAACGATCCAAGCACAACGAAGAAACAAATTGTCAAATTTAAGGCACCTAACGAGCCAACCAGATACGAGGAAATAATATCACACTGCAGCTCAGATTTCACGCTGACTAATCAAATTACGGACCAATCAGTCAATTTCGAGTTGTCATATACTGCTTAGAAACCATATAATTGCATGCAGGAGAGGGTACATTTACCTCGCCAGCCCCAAACTGACGATGTCGCCTCAATTGGTGATAATACCTGTAATCTAACTGCCAAGCCTGGCGAAAAGATCAACAACGAATAAAGGTGCATTAGTTTTGAAAACAACTTCCCTTGGATAAGAGAAGCTATGGATACATGTAGCTCTTTAATCGGGTAAACGTTATGTAGGTTGGCTATTTCTATCTACCTTTTCTATCTGTAAGACATGTTATCAACCTGTTTTGGTGGTAATATGATGTAGCAGATTCGAGACTGTGAGGAACACACTGATTTAGAAAAGCTTTAGATTTGTTAAGATGCAAAATAACATTGTGAAGGGCTCAATCAATTTTATTGTCTTCTTAAGGCAGTCCACTCAAGACACTCCATTCAAGATCACCTTTCCAATTTCAACTCAAAAATTCTTTCATCGAGCAAACGATATTACAGACTTTATGTCTATGCATAACGCCAATGGATTTGGAATTTTAAACTGATACTATAACACTACAGCTGGTCTCCATCTACCCATATGTTTCCAAGTTTCGTAACCGACAAGCTTGGGGTGTAAAATTCATCTGGTTTCTTTAAGAAGTATAAAAACAGCTGCCCACTGACATAGTCAGACAAATCGAAGCCCGCTGGTGTGCACTCTGCCACGGTTGTCCTATGCTCTTGCTTACCACAACTACTTTAACGAAAAGCATTTTTGCTAACTTTCATGTAACAGCCAGCAATCGATGGTATTAGTAGTATTGTCGTCAAGTACTGGTTCAGATGCAAAGTATAATCCACAGCTTTTTTGGATATCCATTGCGAAAATACTAGAAACTCAAAAAGGGCCACGATCTTATAGAGATAATTTGACGTGACATGAGTAGCTTTGTGTTTTGGTGACCATTTGAAGGCGAAAATTCATAGGGGTCTTTTGGAGCCATTCGTTCTGATTTGGCCTATTGCTGGGATGACTAAAACCGCAGTGCGTTCTTGGTAATACATAGTAAACCTCAAAATCTACTTCTAAATTCGTTTGAAGGATAAATGCAGGATTCCGATTGCTTAGCGTTTGAGGATGCCGCTTCCTCAATTGTCTGTACGAAACGCTCCATTAAATATAAATTAATATCTCATTGTATGCATAGACCAGATAACTCACGCTTCCCTTCGTGCGGGCCGTTTGGGTTATTCCATCAGAGACAAGACTCTGACCTTCGTCAAACGTCACGAAACTCGTCCGGTGCACATCATTTGTTTCGGGCTCTGTGATTCGTGGTCGATGTTTCGAGTGCGCGCATTGTTCGTCATATGCTTTACATATAGGCCCGTAAGTTTCAAACAGCACAGTTGCATTCCGTCCAAGAAGTAAAGAGTATTCCTGTGGGGGGGTGCAATAATAGTGCATCCGGGGTTTGAGACTGCATACATATATGTATGTTTATATGAGATTTATTTGGCATACCCTAGGTAGAATCCGAAGATGATTCGCGGGAGCTTGCAAATTAAGATGATCAAACTCATCAGGATGTTACTCGTTATTTAGATCAAATTTTCGGTAAGTCTGTGTCTGGGGATACTTCGTTCACGTGATGAATGAATTGCCTCCATAGAATGCGCTCATTATCCGCTAATAACTTTCAGGTTGCTGACTGGTGAGAAGGTTTATCGCCAGGATGTTGCGGTTTGTCCATGATATGCGGGGAAATCTCGGCAGCTGTCCGAAAATGCACCTTGAATAACCTGGTGAACAGCGTATACCAACATCCATTCTTCCGTTGGAAATATTTAAAGCTTACTTCCTTCGAAAATTCGTGAAACAAATTTGCTATGCTGAGAATCCTCCAAATTTTATCGTGTTATTTCTCATCGCGTCAGTGTTAAACACATTTATTACATCGAACTTTTACTGAACACATGTTAATAAGATAAATTCATGGCTGACCAGTAAATGTGAGTGAAAGATATCATTATAAGGACAAAGTTCTACAAAACGTACTGTGAGCGATGTCTAGATAGTCACAGGATCATTGCAAGAAATAATGGAACTGTTATAGGCACTGAACGCCGCTCATCCAGGCGCCAAGCTAACATCTGATAATGAGGTGAGTTACGAGACGTTCTTTCTATCCAACTAACACTCCAAGACGATGAAATACTCCGTAATTTATTCCAACAAAAGCACATTTGTACTAGTCGCTTGTCCATTTTTGTGCTGATATGCTACAATAAGGCCCAGTTAGAACAGTGTGTGATAGAGCGGGGATACCTCCGACACCTAATTTAAATATCTGGAGGGGCATTTCGCTTACACAAATATGCGAAGGAATCCGTAAAATACATAGTATGCTTTGAAGAAACTACTCAGCCTCAAAAGAGAACACGTTCCCAAATAAAAAAATTCAGTAGTACGCTTGTAGTGAAATGTTCAACCAAAGCTTTTGAAAAAAAAAACGTACAACGTTATCATACCTTAATTCATATAAAGCAGCATCCCAAATCTGACCTCTATAGTCAGTGATCCAATACCTCAGTGCACCACGTTCGGTTTTGTTTGTCGTTTTACTTATGGATGCTCGGACACCTACCTTGGCAGAAGTGCGGGGTAAATTCAACTCGGGTAAAACATATCCAGGTTTGGATGTAACAGCACATGAACTAGTTCGCCCCACCACGCCCAGTTACAAATTCGACTCCTGGAGCAAATTCACGATTGACAACACCATAATAATAGTTAGTCATTTAATTGAAAGTGAACATTATGTTGACTGGACAGCTTGGTTCCGGCTTTTTGTACGGGGCGACAAACAGTCAGCATTGTTGAATACATTTCCACTGCAAGATTGAAATCAGAACAGAAGGAATCGTTCGCAGTGCCTTGATAACTAGCTTGTTTCTGACATCACCTTTGTGAAGCCTCTCTTATCATACCTATGGATCGGGAGTTTTCTTACAGTGCGCACTCAGAAATATACAGCGACATACTCTCAGTACATCGTTCAATAGCTCTTTTTCTTTGATCTCTATGGTTAAGGTAGCCCGGACATCAAATAACTTTGTATACATCTTGACATCAACACAGGTAGCCACAAATCACTGTTCACGGCGACACTTCAAGATAAAACATAATGAAAAGTGGGATGGTCCTCCAGAATGTGTTTATATTTCTGGAATAGATTATCTTAGTCGCAGAAATCCGTGACTAAACAAATGGATACACTTAACTTGTTCACTTGGATTCATTCTTGCTGGTAGCCATGGCGATGTCAGTCATGACGGGTTACGGAAACCGGAATTAGGCTGGCGGATATTCGGACACGTGTTTAGTGCAGGCCTGTATTCGTAATCTGTCTGCGCAATCGCATAGAATGTTTCCAACTGTTGCGGAACAATGTGTAGTTGTTCACGCCGTGTTCACAGAAGGAAATGAATACAACAGAACTCAAATCCAACAGTCACACATTCCTGATAAACAAAAGTATAGAATGTGAACTGCAAAAGCACCTAGTTTTAATGCTTCTTTGATGCCAGACCACGAGCCTTGATAAGAGTGATAAGGAAAAAGTCAGAGTTAAGCGTTTACGCATACTAAGCTTCGGTAATCGGACGGTAATCGACTTTGCGAGTAGTTATATATCGCTATAAAAACAAATTAAACAACAAAAAATATCCCTACCCGTCTGGAGCTACAACAGATCGTTAACAAAACAAGTGTTAGATGAGTGCATTATGTATAGTCTATTCTGGGAGGAAGAATACGAAAAGCGTTCTGAAGCAATGGAGTGAACAGCATTTTCATTACAGTTCCTTTAGTTGCACTTCCAGACGAAAGTTCAGTCAAATGTCAGTATTTGAAGGACACCAGTCTACCTGGTACAAAGTTCGTGGGACCATGGCGCGACAGCAAGTCCATAGATAAAAGCAGCCAAGTGAATGAAGCTTTGGACCCGTAACTTAAGATAAATGGACAAACACATACGATGTTCATCACTCAGGCTGATCGTATTAATCGTGTATCGAAGTACAGTCTCCAGCTACTACATCTTTGTTCACCGAGTTTAGGAGAATAAGGTAGAGAGAGTCTTGCGTTGGAGGCCATGGCCGAATTAGTTTATTGAGTTCGAAAAGCACTGTTTTTCCGGTGTGGCAGAGACTGAGAGCTCAAGGTGATAGCTTTGATGCAATGCCGCCATCGGTTATGTGATACAGCCACGTCCGTCGGGGCCACTAACCATTTTTGGTCTCGTCCCATCCGGGAACACGGCATTTATCAACGCGTCTGAATTGACTTGTGTGGTCTTTACGCTTCGTTGCCAGGTCATGGACTGACCAACTCTGGGTCTTCTCCGTACAAGTTTAGGCGAAGAGGACTTCACGAAACAAAAGATCCTCTGGTATACGAAGCACATGGATAATCCGTGGAATGTGACCAACTGATCTATCGAGGTGGGATGAGCTTTCCCGAAAACCGTCTGGCATATTTCAGCATTACTGATCTGATGTCCCCACTAAACAGGCGCAATGGTTCCCAGAACCCACGACAAAACAAGAGTGCCTACAAAGGTATTCCACATGCAGAGGCCATGCTTCCAATACATAGTTCAGAAAAGACCGGACTGCGTCACTGTAAATCATCACCAAAAACCAACTTACCAGCAGCTTACAAACTGGTCTAATATAAAGGCCAATTGCAGCATGTAAACCTACCCTCGAAAATAAAAAAAACATTTCATTGTTGAGGCCATACATGTGGCTACACACGTTCCTACAGTCACTACACACCACACAGTATTCATCAGTAATAAAAATTGTTTATTACTGCGTCTAAATGAGGACACTGTTTAGACCTCAGTATTTAGATGTCGGCAAAAACGGAGCAAAATGTCAGTCGTATGACAACATCTCCACGCTTATGTCCTTGCCACTATATATAAATATATATTGTTTTGTATATAGTTTGCATGTTCCTTCGGCTGAAACCATTCAAAAGATGTATTAAGTAAATGAATAAGGCAGTGATTTTACACAACTAAACCACTTATACTAGACAGCAGTTTGGATACGATAGGTTAATTTACATCTTTGTTGAATGCACTGATATGTTGCAAGTCATTAGTGCTAACTACTACTGCGCCCTTTTTAGTGAGGCCGGTATGAAATCAGAGCATGAGTTATCAGTGATAAGTTTAGATGCCTTCTCCAGTGACCAGAAAATGAATCAGCTGATTTTATTTGGCCACGTTGCTGCTGTCCATCTTGTTAATAACTTCAATTGTCTGATAAGCGTTTTATTCATTTTGTGCGATAAAGGGTCGCTGCACACCTCTTCAAAAATTATACTGGACTCTAACAGGTCTTTTGTATTAGGCAGACATATCCTTAATGAGTGAACATTTATAAAGGTCACTTTTTACTAAACTCACTTGTACGTTACTGCATATTTGCGGAAATGAGGAGACCAACAAAACGCGGGTAACCGTGTTATCAAGCACATGCATAAATCGCTTGGAATCAATTGTCGGTAGGTGCTTAAGGGATAATTTTTGTATGCTGGGAGCGCTTGCTAATAACGGTAAAGAGGGCAGTATGGACGACCGACGAAATCTTTCATCACTGTCACTTGATGCAGAAGCTTTTTTGACCGGGAACGCCATCGCTCAGAATACTTTATCTTGACCTCAGCTTACGGGATCACATTGACAATGGATGCACGTGGTTTGGTTTGAACTTATTGATCACGGGGAAAACACGTGAATGTTTTGTTCAGAAGCTGCATTTGCATTTTAATGTCCATCGATACCAAAAGCAAGAAATGGTGCTGCATCAAAGGAATCTGGTGCCAACTTGAAACAGGTTTAGCCGCTTAAGCTACTGGTTCCATCTATTTGCAGAAAGGTCTTCGATGGAAATTGCAGTCTTAGTTTGAACATACCCTAAAATCGTGATGTACAAGTGCATAAGTGCAGGAGGCATTCCCTAATTGGAAACACCTGCTAAGTTACTGAACAAAAGTTATGCCACACCGAAAGATTTCAAACACAACCGAGTTGTGAAGTTATGTGCAACAATTTGTTGTGGAAATTTGGTTTTGAACTTGGATGTGAGCATAATTTGCAAACTAACTGGTAAATTGTTTGTCATGCTCTATAAGTGGTCCTTGTTTTTCCCTGTATTTTCACCTGACACAAGAATGTATCTTGTACGCTGAATTCGAACTTTGTTTTCTAAAAGCGAAGTGTCGTCCAAAATACAGTGGATAGCGAGCACAGCTGTCAACTTTCGCACTACGTAAACGGTTTGCCGAACTAGCCTCCAACATCTTGTCCGTATCACCCATCAATCTTCTCACTTTTACTTTCACTTTTTGTTTTATAATGCAAGCCGTTTATTTTGATTAGTGTCGGAAAGGTGTAGATTTTCAGAAAGCAATGTGAAAACTTCGCAGCTTAGAAAAAACGAACATGTTATGAATTGCACATATGCACTAATTTTTAGTGCGAGAAACGTTTGCCTATTACACACTTTTACAAGGTCATGGGCCCACCAAACCGTCCTCTGATGTCTCATCATGTGGTGAGGGAACGTTTGCAAGTGGACAGTAAAGCTCGACGTGAATATCAACAGCCACCTGATCGACAACCAAAGTTATCGACTGTTTTATCAATAATGACTTGCAGTGATCTCCCTTTCACCAATACCATTTGTTTCGTAATTTTTGGCGGCCAAACAAACCGACAGTTTTTGTTAATCCGAAAGTTACACTTTCTTGGAAATCAAAACTCAGTACACTCTCATTCATCAAAATGGCACCTATATCTTTCCTCATCTGCTATTAGAGGGACATCTAAATAAAAGCTATTCGAATGGAAACGTATTGTTTTGGTATGTCGCGTGGCAAAACAAAATTCATCAGAGTTTTTACTGTAGCTGTCGAGTAATGTCCTAGTATACTCTTCATGCTGTTCCTTCTGCATTCTGATGTCACGTAACTTGACGCTGTTTATGAGGTTGTCTCAAAGCACAATTGTGGGTGTTTCTATGCCTTACCTAAGCTACCGATCAGGCGTCCTTTTGCTCTTGGTTTTCTTTGGCTTCCGTTAATGACTACCTCGTTGTATAAAAGAGTACAGAAACCTAAATTCTCCGCATTCTAGTCACGCGGTAGGTAGTCCGTCTGGGTTAAGTTTGAGGCAGTTGTAAATGCAAAGGGCAATGTCCTAGATATTTCGAACCTGAGTTATGGACAGACAACAATTCCGTTGGCACGCTTACATTTCTGTGTCCAGGATATTATGTTAGCAATCCTACGACATGGTCTGGTGGGACGCTGTTAGCCCAAATGATGAATTAGTCGCCCGGTAACTAAGCCTTACCTGGTTGTTTCAGTGCGGCCTCAATCAAGGATGAGGGGTTCTGCAGAAGTTTTTTTTTAATTTCACCTCGAGTTACCTATAATTGGTAGGTCTATGGGACGGAAATAGCAGCAGTGAATCATATGAAGTGTGTGACTACCATTCCTCAGTCGAAGTTGAAACAAAGATCATTGCAAGTTGACTTTGAAATTCATTGTCATTCTACCTGGATCACTCTTGTAACCAAGGTACATTTGACGGATAATATTTCACGCAAGGATTCTATAAAAACATAAGGAAAGCATTCTAGTAAAAACACGCCTACAAAACAGGACAAATTATAGTGCTGCAGAATTGCGATAAATGGTAGTTTCAGTTGGTAAGAAAATTAAATGGGATGTTTGAGGAGTGTTCAAATAGATTGCGGTTGTGTTACATGCAGGGAGTGCTAGACGTTCCCTTGTGAACTTCACCAAATCATCAGATCACTTGCTAATTATGTTGCCTTGAAAACTCCAGTGTATCTGAAGACGTGTTTCAGAGATTTGATAATGCTATTCCTAGCAGTCATCACCATACACTTCTTTCTCAAAAGTCCATGGAATGCTGGACTGACAGCATATTCAGTGGAGAATAAATTTAACAGGTGGCAGGCAGGTAATTTGTCCCGCCCATCAAGACAGACGACAAGACACCAAACTTTTATTGAAATGGATTAAAAGTGTGGAAGTGTGGTCAGATTGGCAGATAAGGTAACGACTGCGTATTTTAAGCTGAGAGTTTGGAGGAGCGATAGAACGCTCTACCGGACGGCGCGACTGCGAATCACTTTTTAGAGAATGGTTAAAACAAAAACGTGACGGACAAAGCGAATGATAATCTAAACAAAATCTTAGATCTTAAAGGTTCAAATGATAACAAAAGAAGAGTGTTAGAAAATGAAAACTCAGATTTTAACCACTTCCTATTCTATGTCCTGCCAAAAGTGCATAATGAGTTAGATTGATTACGACCAACCCTGACGTTTTTAGGTATATCAACATCCAACCTATTAAAAGAACTGTGAGGGAAATAGTAGGCCTCATCCATGAGTCACAGCGCTTAGTCAACAATGCAAGGCAATTTCTGGAAGAACACAAACACTAAAGACGACGAAACAATGGTCTCATTTGATCTAAAGCCCCTGTTCACATCAGTGGACATTGTTTACCCTCACTGAACTGTTGGACAGTCACGGCGTACTAAGTGGATCCTGAGAAAAGGGATCCCTGTAAAACGCCAAAAGTTGTGTACCTCTCAGGGTGTGTTGCATCGAGATTGAATGATCTTTGTGAATCCAACGAGACACTAGGCTTTCTGTGCTTTCGGTCTCGGGATGTTATCCAGGTGTCCTGTGAGAATTCTGGTAACTCTAACAATAAATACGTATGTTCTCCTGTATCCAACTTATATTTTCAGATCGTGAACTTGCTGAAAGATCCTGTCCAGCAGACACTCAAACTAGCAAGCCTGGAGTAAAACAGATTGAGTTTGCACAGCCAGTCATTCAAACTGGCTAATTCAAATAGAGGTTCTGTTCACTGAACTTTGTCGCATAGCCAATCACTGATTCCAGGTGCCCATAGTTGGAGTCAGGCGGTATTTAATGCGTTTTAATTTATTGGATATTCTCCATAACTCAGATGCTTTGCAAGTATGCGGATTCAATAAATAATAACAAACAGCAAGTTGACACCAAGCACTGGCCGTTATGCAACGAGGCGCTTTTCGGTAAACTTAAGATTTTCTCAACTTCAGGAATAAGCAACGCCACATCTCATCTACTTTTCTGAAACTATTAATTGTCTCAAATACCCAGACCGGACATTTCAATAGGTTACTGTCCCGATTCGCGAGTGTAGTTGACTGACCAGATAGTGTGCTTTTTCTCAATCAGATTGTATCCCTAATCTACGAAGATTCATGACTCCAAATGAATGGGGCCACATTGTAATGCGTCAACCCGTTCTGAAAAACTTTTTCATGGGATAACTTCTCAAGACAATTCTCTTCAGATTTACTAAGCGGGCTACCTAGGTGTTCCTACATCACTCTCTGCCAGGAATATATTGAACTGTTTGTGGCTCGGTTGGGTTAATTAGCTGTAGACCATGTGGCTGTTGATATGTTCACCTAGCAGTGCAGTCACCGATGATTTGGCGAAAAGCCTTGAAGCCTGCCAAGATCGGAGAACAAATCAGCAGCCTCCTGATCTAAAATCAGCTCTTTCTGACGGTTTTACGGGCGCGCAAGTTATGTCCTTTTGACATACCAAGAACCTTTTGTGATATTCTGATTACGTCTCATCACTTTGAAAAGTAGCATCAGATATGTACAACAGTATTTTGCATCCAAGTAGGGAAACCTCTTGTTTAAATTAGACCTCCAATACATTATATTGAAAGAAGCAGAGTTACCTTTTTGCATAAAAGGTACGTTGAACATTTGCTTCTCTCCAACTCCTCTAATTAACGATCAATTTAATGAATGCACGTCCTCATGCAACAAATTTAACCATGTTATAAAACTAATACAAATAAGGCTAACAAAGGGCACAAGTGCTAAAGGCGCTTTCTTGGCGGAAAACCTTTGTAAGTCACCTCTTGGTCAAACCAGTTTGATCGAATAAAACCTGGATAAACGATGCCGGTACCGACAGACGGCAATTAAGTACATGGGAATTCCAAGTTGCGCCAGTGACAACTAATTCTATTTTCTGTGCACATAAGACAGGCTAAAACGGGTGATCTTGTAACTAATTAGATTTTGCTTTGCGATACCCCTAAAATATTTCTTCACTCTAACGAATCCCCAAAGTTTCTTTGGTTTTTCAAAGTAAAATCGCAGTTATGGGTATCACCTCCTGCCATAAATCTTACTTTTTTAAAGTTTAGGCGGTGGATAGGGGGGCCTAGGCGACATTTATTTGCTTGATAATTTACCAGCGGCCGCCTTGGGTGAGATAAAAACGTGTCGCGCGTTTTTTGTTCGATAAAAAATTGGCAATTTGGAACAGCCAATCCCGTCCGGATTCAAAAGTGCATCAAACTCCGTTCTTTAACGTAACGGCGCATAGGCAGGCTGTACAGAATTGTGCGTATATTTTTGCTTGTACTGTTTGTGACAGCCACCTTAATGTGTTCATGTCAAAACTTGTGACCCAGGACGTTCTTCTTTTCGCAATTTACAACACTACAAAATGACTTTTGGTGGTCCACCAAAAGGTGTTTTATAAAGATTATCCTTATAATATACGCGAAGTC